ACAAAAATCAATTCTTGGCCGTACGCTTTGTGTACACACAACGATCCGATTATCATTTCTTATATTCCAGTTGTAGCATAAAATCATCAATCGTCTTGTCCCATATTCTTGGCGACTGTTTGAGCCCGTACAACGACCTTTTCAGCTTGCACACATGATCGGGATGACTTTTGTCAACATAATCGTCGGGCTGCACCATGAAGATGTCTTCTTCAAGAAGTCCATTCAGAAAAGCCGTCTTCACATCCATCTGATGAACTGAGAGACTATACTTGGCACTGAGGCTAAGCAATACTCTAATGAGGTAAACTTTGCAACTGGTGCAAAAGTTTCATCGTAATCAATGCCGTACTTTTGTGCAAATCCCTTGGCCACCAGACGCACTTTGTAGCGTTCGATCTCTTTCGTCTTTAGTTCTTTTAACTCGGAAGACCCATCTGCTCCCAATCGCTTTGCGTCCTTTTGGGAGCGGCACTAGATCCCACGTTTTGTTCTTGATGAGTGACTCCATTTCCGAGTCACAAGCCTTGGCCCATTAATCAGCGTCGCTAGATTCCATTGCCGATTTGAAGGTGGTCGGCACTTCTTCCACTGAATCCACAGCGTAAGCAGCTCCAAAGTCTTCGGCCGAAGCGGACAATTCGTCAAGTCCTTGCTGTTCGTTGTACTGGTTCAAGCGCTTAACATTGAGAAATTCCACCAACTCCTTATGCGATTGCGTTCGCTGTTGTCATTTATCTCCAGACTTACCGAGGCCTTTGAACCCATCGCGCTGAACGAAGTGCTTTGATCTGGAAGTCTCTGTGGTGTCTCCAAGCGTCTGCATACGAGCATGTCGTTTGGTGCCTAAATCATTCTTGTCTTTATCCATTTCAGTGTCTTCATGTTGATCTTCTTCTTGTGTTTCTTCATATGTATCTCCACTGCCTTCATAGTTATCTTGACCACAACAATAATCACGACTTCCACTATCGAAGCCGTCTTCAAGAAGCTTTACATCACGGCTTATTACCACACGACCACTCTTCTTGCTTTTGAATTGGTATGCTTCTTCATGCTCGGAATACCCGATAAAATGCTCGGCTCGAGCATTACGCTTAGCACGTTTTTCCTCCAGAACCGTCACAACCGCATGACAAACAAATACTTTTAGGTTTGTCAAAACGGGATTTCTTCAAGTCCACACTTCATAGGGGGACTGTGCCATCAAAAGTCCACGCGTCGGACACCGAATGCGCAAGAAGTTGGCAGTCATTACTGCTTCCCCCCAATACGCCTTGAGTAGATTTGCGTGTTCAATCATAAAACACGTACATTCCACCAATGTCCTGCTCATACGCTCAGCCACTCCATTGAGCTGAGGCGTATATGGCGGCGTAAGCTTCTGCACAATACCACGGCGCTATAAACTTTGCTGATTCGACAGACAAATACTCGCCACCATCATCACAACAACAAACAGTCTGAGTCCCTGCGTATGCTACAAACGAAGCAAACTTGCTTGCAACTTTTGACTTCTCCTCGCAGCAAGTACACCATGGAAAAGTGCGAGTAGTCGTCGATGAACGTAACGAAGTACCGCATGCCGCTAAAGGTAGCAGTATGCATCGGACCGCATACGTCACTGTGGACAACTTCCAACAGTTTTGTAGCGCGTTGAGTGAATTTTGGCAGAAAACTAGCACGTGTTTGTTTGCCAAGAGCGCAATCATGACATGGTTCCCACTGCTACACTGATGTAAGTCCGATACCAATGCCATATTTCTTCTTGACGATGGTGTCAAGACCTGCAATGCTAATATGTTACAAGTCGAAGGTGCCAGAGGTACGACGTGGTGTCCCCATGGCATCCCAAAGAGCTTATCACATTGGCTTCTTGTACATAATTTGGCTTCATACATAGCTTGAACAGTCCCTTTCCTTCGCGGGCACCAAGCCATCAGCGTAACTCCTTTGCCTCCGCAAAGCATCCATCACGCTCGAAATTGACTGGACCAACATCCTTGGTAAATCGTCCAACTGAAAACAAGTTGCGAGAAAGACTTGGGATATGCCAT